CACTTCTTCCAGTTCTGAAATGCAGCCACCTCTGGGGATGAGCATGGCAGCTACTTAATAATAAAGTGCAACACCCCATGACAGTTTAGCCAAGATGATTAGTAGTTGTAGTTGGTAATTGTCTCATGAACTTTAGACTGTCAAGCAGTAAAGACACCAGGATTATTAGTTCATTGCAAATCTAATCCATTCTTTTTAAAAAATTTTATTTTATTGATTATGCTATTACAGTTGTCCCAATTTCCCCCTTTTGTCTCCTTCTGCCTGGTAACCCCCTTCCCTCCATCAATCCTGCCCTTAGTTTATGTCCATGGGTCATGCATATAAATTCTTGGGCTTCTCCATTTCCTACACTATTCTTAACATCCCCTTTCTGTTTTGTACCTAACAATTATGCTTCTTAATCCCTGCACTTTATCCCCCATTCTCCCTCATCCCCCCTCCCAGCTAGTAACCCTCCAAATGATCTCCATATCTATGATTCTGTTCCTGTTTTGGTTGTTTGCTTAGTTTGTTTCTTTAGATTTGTTTGGTGATAGTTTTAAGATTTCTGACTTTTTAGAAATTTTGTCCTAATTATTAAAGAAATGTATGCACAGTGAAGGTCTAGTTTTCTTTTAGTTTTGTTTTTTGTAGTTCTTCACATTTAAAACTTAAAGTAGGAAAAGACTATCTTTTAAAAAAGTGCAACTTAAGAATAGAGAGTTATTGATAATATATTTTCTTCAAAAAGTTTTCTACTGAGCAGAATGAATCAATGATAGTAGAAGTCAGAAGAGCAGCTACCATTATTGAGGTATTAGCTGGACAGGGGGATGAGAGCAGAATATTTGGGGCACTAGAAATGCTTTAGACTTCATTTGGGTGGTTGTTATATGGGAATAGATACATGTTCACAGACTTTACTCTGTGTGTGTGTGTGTGTGTGTGTGTGTGTGTGTTATATTTCAATAAGAAAGTAAATAACCCAAAAAACATGCTGCTTTTGTCATCACAAGAATGCCAGAAACCCCATGTTGACTATCTGGAAAGGTTCGCGAGAAGCAGGGCATATTCAGAAACTAGAGACATGGTATATTTTATTCTCCCCAAAGTATCTTTTTTGTTGTTCAAGTACAGTTGTCTCCATTTTCCCCCACCGCTTTCCCCTACCACCCCCAATCATACCCCCTTTTGGCTTTGTCTATGGGTCCTTTATACGTGTTCCTAGATGACTCTTCCTTTTCTTTCTCATGCTAACATCCCTCCCCTGTGGTTTCTGTCAGTTGGTTCTTTGTTTCAATGTCTCTGGTAATATTTTGCTTGCTTGTTTGTTTTGTAGATTAGGTTCCACTTACAGGTAAGATCATATGGTATTTGTCTTTCACCACCTGGCTTATTTCACTTAGCATAATGCTCTCCAGTTGCATCCATGCTGTCACAAATGGTAGGAGCTCCTTCTTTCTCTCTGCTGCATAGAATTCCATTGTGTAAATGTACCATAGTTTTTTGATCCACTCATTTACTGATGAGCACTTAGGTTGCTTCCAGCACTTGGCTATTGTAAATTGTGCTGCTGTGAACATTGGGGTGCATAAGCTCTTTTGAATTGGTGTCTCGGGATTCTTAGGGTATAATCCCATCAGTGGAATTTCTGGGTGAAAAAGCAGTTCAATCCTTAGTTTTTTCAGGAAATTCCATACTGTTTTCCATAGTGGCTGAACCAGTCTACATCCCCACCAACAATGCATTAGGATTCCCTTTTCTCCACAACCTCGCCAATACTTGTTTGTTGCTTTGTTTATGATGGCCATTCTGACTGGTGTGAAGTGGTATCTCATTGTGGGTTTAGTTTGCATCTCTTTGATGATTAGTGGTTCAATGCAATCCCTATTAATATACCAATGACATATTTCACATATATAGAACAAATATTTCACAATTTATGTGGAACCATAAACGACCCCAAATAGCCACAGCTATTTTGAGAAAGAAGAACAAAGTAGGAGGGAGCACAATACATGATATCAAACTATATTTTAAGGCCATTATAATCAAAACAGTCTGATACTGGCGTAAGAACAGACACATAAATCAATGGAACAGAAGAGAGAACCCAGAATGTCTCTATGATCAGTTAATATTCAACAAAGGGGGCAGAAGCATAAAATGGAGTAAAAATAGCCTGTTTAACAAATAGTGTGGGGAGATCTGGACAGCTACATGCAAAAAAATAAAACTTGACCACTAATTTACACCATACACAAAAATAAACTCAAGATGGATAAAAGACTTAAATATGAGTTGTAACACCATAAAAGTCCTAGAGGAGAACATAGGCAGGATAATCTCAGATATTCCATGTAGCAATATTTTCACTGATAAGTCCCCTAGAGCAAGGGACATAAAAGAAAGAATAAACAAATGGGACTTCATCAAAATAAAAAGCTTCAGCATAGCTAAAAAATAAATCAGAAAACATAAAGGAAAAATGAAAGGGAACCAATTCTATGGGAAAATATATTTGCCAATGATACCTCAGACAAGGTTTTGATCTCTAAAGTATCTTTTATTTTTTTAATTTTTTAAAAGATTTTATTTATTTATTTTTAGAGAAGGAAGGGAGGGAGAAAGAGAGAGAGAGAGAAACATCAATCAGTGTGCAGTTGCTGGGGGCCATGGCCTGCAACCCAGGCATGTGCCCTGACTGGGAATCAAACCTGCGATGCTTTGGTTCACAGCCCGTGCTCAATCCGCTGAACTACGCCAGCCAGGGCTTATTTTTTTAATTTTAATTTTTTATTGAATTTATTGGGGTGACATTGGTTAATAAAATTATATATGTTTTGGATACATAATTCTACATGCATCATCTGTATATTATATTGTGTGTTCACCACCCTAAGTCAAGTCTCCTTCCATCACCATTTATCCTCCCTTTACCCTCTTCTACCTCCCCCTATCCTAGCCTTCCCTCTGGCAATCACCATTCTGTTGTCTGTTACCATTAGTCTTTCTTTTATTTCTTTTCTTAATCCGTTCACCCTTCTCACCCAGCCCCCAACCCCCTCCCCTCTGACAAAGTATCTTCCTTCAGAAAAGTTTATTCAGTGTCCTTCATTCCTCTATTTTTTTCCTCCAAAAAAGCTACTATAATGCTTGGAGGCAGTTGTCTCTCATTGTACCTGCAATATGATGTATCTCCTCACATGTGCCCTTTATACTTCCCTGGGCATCTAATTTTTCTCTTAGAATTTCATTCCATTTTGTTTACCTACATCTTTGCCAGAAGCAGGTATAGGGTGTGAGTAATCCAGGAACATGGGGTTGAGAGGCATGTGCAGGGGCAGTTGCCCTGTCTGGCACTAGAAGAAAACAGTGGGAGAGGAGGAAGCAGAGAGGATCTAGGCTGCCTCTGACCCTGCGGCATCTGATGTGCCTGTTGGAAAGGGTAGAAACGAGAAGACAGAGCAGCAAACCCAAGATGGCAGCACCATCTCTGGAGCCTCCAGCAGAGCCAGGGTCCCTTCTGCATCTGTGGCAGCACTCCAGGGAGGGACAGACCCTTGGTAGATTGTCCTAGAGCTGCTCTAAGCTAAGGCCCAAAGGCTGAGAGCAGATGTCATGGTCGAGAATCCCTAGCAGAGCAGGCACAGCATGAGCCAGAACAGAGGCCTGGGAGTGGGGAGGTGGGGGAAAAGGGGAAGAGAAAATATCAGGAGTGGAGAGAGAGTTGGAGAGAAAGAAAGAGGGAAGGGACATGGAGGGAGGGGGAGAAAGGAAGAGAGACCAATAGGAAGAGTCTGACAGGAAGAAAGGCTGGAAGAAAGACACACAGAAATAAAGAAAGAAAGCTGAAGGGGGGAGCTTTAGAGACAAAAATGGGAAAAATGTTCTTCTACTATTATTTTCAGTGAAGCTTAAATACATCAGTGCTACCCTTATTATTGACTTTTCAGAACATATTAAACCAATAACGCTTGGTTCCAGTTCTTTTTGCTTACAGAGTAGAAAAGTGAAGATTGGCTGATGCAGACCCTGGCTTCTGGGGTCTGCTACATTGTGGATGAGGCACAAGAAATTCACACAGACTACCAAGTCCTGTGGAGGAAAAGGGACAGCATGGCTTTTCTCTCAAGAGGAGAAAAAGCCTGCGCCCTTGCCTTGACCAGCCTTTATTTCTTTTTCTGGGCATATCACATGATGGTCCTCATTCTGTCCAGGTTCACTTTAGGTGGTTACCTTTTACAGAAAACAAAGGAGACAGTGCCACTAATCACATCACAGAAGAAGGATATTTGCAAATGCAAAGGGAAAAGTGATTGAACTGGTTACACTCATCCTTGGAAGGTTTGGCATGGATTTTAGGAAGTTACAGTAAGCACTTGCTGTCTCAATTCAGGGTGAGGAAATTTTAACAAAAGCAAGTCTCAAAGCAGTCTAGGTACAATGCAGGCCTGATTCCCCATGGGAGAACCTGTCCATGGGCGTGGGTCCTGTGCATCCCCGAGTGGGAGCTGGGCCCACACCACACAGAATGGTCTCCTATAATTGGCTACTGTCAGACTGCATGTTCACAATCTTTTCAAAGGGAAAGTAGGCTTTGTGCTAATCTTTGGCCTTTAGTTGTAGCTAATTGCAGTCTTTTCCACATTCTATCTTAAAATCATTTCAAAGCCTGCCATCCAGGAAGTTGATACTCAGTTGTTTGTAAACTTCAAAGGGGGATTCTATGAAAGGATCACATAGCAACTGGCTATGTCTAGGGCCTCCTGGGTGCCAGGCCCAGCTGAGGTCCATCTCTGGCATCATATTATCTCCATCATGTGGATGAAGCCATGTAGAGGTGAGAATGGGGTGGGCTGTGAAGACCCTGTTCTTCCCACCTCATGGTGCTGTCCTCTGCAATATAATTCTTTAGGTTGCAATTTAGAAAGACATTACTATGCTGTTTCCAATTTTGTGTGGTTCTGCAGATATTTATCATCCGTTTCCTGCCCTTTTGCCTCTCTCTCTCAAAGATGCTGAGCTCAGGAGTGGCAGCCAGGATTTCCAGAAAATAGTGGAGGAGCCACAGGAACCTGTCACTCCAGAGGGCAGGGAAAGGAAAAGTATTCAGGTAACAGAGATCATTGTACCCATGCCTGGGACATGGGATAGTCCTAGGGGCTGCTTGGGTGGCCACAGTTATGGGTGGTTCTGGTGTTCAAGTTATTTGAGAAGTTCTAACTTCTGATACCAAAAAGGCCTGACTAGTACTGGGAGCAGTGAGGTGGAGGAAAAAGCAAGCCCAGAGGAAACAGACGTTTGTAATACACATAGTAGAGCCTCACTGCTGTCTTTAGGAATACAACTCAGAATGGAATTTCATCCCTTCTCTACCTTCCTTCTCACCCATTCCCTGATTTCAGGAGGCTGAGGTTGATAAAGCTGCTCACTTAAATCCAGTTAAAAAGCTCACACTTTCTGAAGAGACTTACATAGTATCCACATATTCAAATAATACAGCACTTTCCTTCCTTCCCAGTAGGACCCTGCAATTGGAAGCTGTGTGGACTACACAGATGTCCACAGAGATTCCTAGAGAGCTATTAGCTCCATTGTCCCGGCTTAGCCTCAGCAGGAGCCCTTCCCTTCTGCTGCCAGGGTGACATTGATAGCACTCTGCTTCTGTTGCTTCTGCAGCCCTTACCTAAAGAAAGAGACCTACACAAAAGGGGGCCATGGGCTCACTTATGGGCTGACATTGTCAGCCTGGTCCTTCGTCAGCACTGTGTATGGCCAGACTCCCAGGGTGCTTTTCACTACACAACTCCTTCAGCTTCTGGTGTTCCTGACTCCTCCATCCAGCTAGGCCTGGAACCTACTCCTGAACCCAGAATGGCAGACAAGTGTAGTGCCCATCTTGCTTTAATTTCTCCATTCCAGTCTTAGACAAAACAACATTCTCCTTGCCCATCAACTGATGCAAAGAAAATCTTGGGGAGAAGAAGGAGGGAGGACATTTATCTTAGCACTAGGCCACCTGGCTTATCCTCTCAATTTTTATATTGTCTCTATGGAAAATGCATTCTTATACTACAAACCACAAAAGGACCATTGGTAGCTGGTTAGATGTTATATTTCAAGTGCTGACTTAGTCTCTGTACAGAGGTTGAGCTCTTAAAATGGTCAGGCACTTTTCTTAGTGCTGGAAGATTAATCACAGATTAGACTTTGCTGTAAAAAAGATTAGCGAACTTAAAATAGAAATGAGAATTTAAAAAAAGATCAGTGTGTCAGTTAGCTGTGGGTTAACTTCAGGTATCTAATATGTATGTAATTGGAGTTCATTTAAAAAAGGGGAGAGAAAGGTTGGAACAAAAACATTTGAATAAGTAATAACTAAAAAAATTCTAAATTTTATGAAAACAACAAACCCATAGTCACAATCTCAACAAATAGCGAGCACAAGGAACATGAAGAAAAATATATCATACAATCATAATCAAATAGTGGAAAAATAATGATAAAGAGAAGTGCTTTAATTGGATGGTGGTTATTTTAGAAAAATCTATAGCTAACATCATACTTAATGGTAAAAGACTGAATACCTTCCACCAAGGTCACGAACCAAGCACGAATGTCCTCTCACCACTTCTATTCAAAATTGTACTAAAGGTTCAAGCCAATGTGAAAAGACGAGAAAAGAAATAAAAGGCATCTAGATTGAAAAAGAAGAATTAAGACTCTCTTTTATTTGAAGATAATCAGCTAGAATCTATAAAACAGCTACTAGAACTAATAAGTACTTGGCAAGTTGCTAAATATGCAAAATTAATATGCAATGAACAAATAGAAATTGAGATAAATATTATTTACAATAGTACAAATGTACAAAATACTTAGAGATAAATCTGACAAAAGATGTTTAAAATCTGTGCATACTGGAAAATACAAAATATTTCTGAGAGAATATAATAAGACTTAAATAATTGGAGAGATATCCTGATATTCCATTTTGATGGTTTTGAAGACTCAATATTGCCAAAATGTTAATTTTTTCCCAAATTGATTAATGCAATCCCTGTCAAAATTTCAGGAGAAATTTTTATAGAAATTGATTGATTGCAAAATTCATATGTAAATGGAAAGGACTTATGTAGCCAAACCAACTTTGGAAAAAGAACAAACTTGTAGGACTAATACTTCTGATTTCAAGACTTATTATAAATTTCTTGTAATTAAGACAGTGTAATAATGATGTCAAGGTCAACAAATAAATTAATGGAGCAGAACAGACGATCCATGTATAGACTCAGCATATAATTTATAATGATAAAAAGCAGATCATTGCTTGCATGGGATTGCAGACTGGCACAGGGTGGGAGGAGGGCACATAGAAACACAGGAGCTTTTAGGACTGATGTGTATATTCATTATTTTTATTGTGATATTTGTATGGGTGCATACATAAAGATCAAAACTTTTCAAAAGGTACACTTTAAATATATGGAGTTTACTATATGTCAGTTATACCTCACTAAAGCAATTTTAAAAACCTAGTGGAGCTTTCAGTTTGCACAGGAGAATAAAAGTATTTTATGTTAGTTATTATTATTAATATCTACAGAGAATTAGGAGTGCCAGCATTGTAAGCATCCATCTTACCTATTTATCCTGATTTTATTCTCATAACAACCTTATGAGGTAAGTGATGCTCTTAACTCCTTTACTCAGATGAGGAAACTGAGGGTCCATAACATTCTCACTGCCGCACAACCAGTAAGCATTAGAACCAGGATCTGAGTCCAAGCAGTTTGCTTCAAAGCTCAGGCTCTGAGCCACTCTGGGAGTTGATTAATTCCTATGTTTTGCCATTGTTGTTTGCAGGAAAAAATCACAGAAGAAGCCGCAATTGAGGAACCTTTACCAGTAGTCCAAAGTGGTACTACTAGTGAAATAGAGGTAGGGCTTGTGCAGGGCTTTGCGTGCTGTCTGGTTTGCCCCCACGTGGTTCACTCCTTGTCACTTGAGTCTGACCTTTTCTCCTCCAGGCTCCCTGAGTCTCTCTACAAGTTTACATCTGCCACCTCCTTTAGGGCTTACTCCACAAAATTCCCTTGATTAACTTTTACTTTACTGTGATTAATCCTCTATTCTGTCTTCTACAGCTCAGACCTAGAAGTTACAGTTTCTACATAAATTATTTACAAAGTTTTCAGTAATTAAGAGTTTTTCTCTTTTGTCCCATTGTCCACAGAGAAAACATTTTGTAGGGGCAAAACATTTGTAAGAATTTTTTGCAACTATATGTATCATATGTCCATACATATTCTCATACATACACTTAATATGTGTTATGTCATTCATCTGCATCCTTGGTTCTAGTAAGTGCTCCTTCCTGTGATAGATTCAGGCCAAGGGGTGGTAGCATCTTGCCAGTTGCTATCCCTGGGCACTTCCTCATCTTTGTTGGTTTTCCTTTACCCTGCACACACCTTCACACATGGTCCTTTGTTAAACTGTCTTTGTCCACTCCATTGGTATATAAGATCTGTTTCCTGCTGGAAACCTGAGGATTCAGGTAGAAATCAGCAGGGCTCTGTGGACCGTGATCTGGATTTTGAACTTTTCCTAAGTAGCAGAGGAAGGCTGTGAAGGTTTTAAGTGGGAGATTGATAATGATCAGACATGCTCATTCCTCAGTGATGAGCACAGTTCTAAACTTCCAGTGGATTCTCAAGTGTCTGTTATTGTTAGGTCAGCTGACTCAGAATGAATCAGCCCCAAAATCTACAGAGTCCTTGAAGGCGGAACAGGGAAGAGGAAATTGAGTCATCTCCATGGAGGTCCTGGGACAAATTCACTGAACATTAATCTCAGACACTTGAATTCTGAGGGAAGGGAGATTATTCTCCCCCGCCCCTTCAGAACTGAGCAATTAGGTCTTTACAAGGTCAGCTAGAGATAAAGATACCATTTAATTATTGTTAAACCTGACCTTGAGCAAAGTTTGGATGTGTAACAAAAATGGACTTACTACTTCCTCCAACTGAATCAAATGTACATACCTAGCAGTAGGCAGGCCTCACCCTTAGGGCAGAGTCTGCCCTCATGGACTAAGTGCGTGGAGGAGACAAGAATGCATGAATCCTGGAGCAGGATGTGCTGCTGGAAAGAGTGCACTAGGCAGGCACAGGGTCAATTTTCTGAATCTCACTTCAACATATACCGTGGGGCCCCTACCCATATGCTTCTGACAGTGCTCATTCCTCAGCTCCCTGAGAAGGAGGAGTTCAAGTGCCTGGTTTTTCTTTGCTGTTGTGCCTTCAGGCAGGTCAGAATCTTTAGGGGAGCAACCATCAGCTAATGACTGAAGTCAGCTAGAGAATCAGTGTCCCGATTCCTTTGCCTCTTAGGGGGGTACTTCATGGTCTGCAAGAGATCTTGGCGGAAATGAGTCCACAGTAGTAATCCACTCATTAAGCACTCTGTGTTGGTGTCCTTCCCTTCCTCACTTCACTTCCCTTTTCCCCTCACAGAATTTCCTGTTATTACTCCCCAAATAAAGTATGCTCTGAGTTTGCTTCTGGGGAAACCCACATTAAGGCATTTACTCCCCATGCTTTGGTAAAGTTAGACATACAGCAGAGGGGAGCAGTTTTCTCTTCAGGATTTCTGAAATGGTAACCATTCCTTTGGGAACCCAAACAAGGATGTGGTGAGCACACAGGACAGTCCTCACTGATTCAAAGTATGGGAACCCCAGAGGGCATCTGGGTCAACAAGGTGAATTGATTTCCCATGTTTATCTCCTTTTCCTTCTGGGGAAAAAAAGAACACTGAAGTGACAAATGATCGTGTAAAAGAATAAAAAGGGCCCATATTTACAAAGACTATGAGACTGGGAGAGGAGATGTTACAAGATGAATACTTTAAAATGTTTCAAGTGAAGAAAATCAATGGTGGAGTTTACACTGGTTTAGTACTGCTGAAAAGGTGAAACTTGGGACCTGGAGCTTCTGTGGAAGGTGGGGCAATGACTGGTCTGAAACATGGGGTCTTCTTGACTGTCTGCTCTGGAGGGTTGGGGGCATTAGATTCTTTGAAAACAGTACTTAACTTGTCATCTATCCCCCAAGTGAAACAACCAGATAACTATTCTTAAGAGAGATTGAACAGAAGCCTCTCCAAATTCAGGTTCAGATTCTACATATGAGGCTGTGTAAAGGGGGAACATAGAGAATAGAAGAATAAATGGAATTTTCTCTTTCAAATGGAGTAACCCCTGAACCTCTCCTCCTGGCATCTCATCCAAATGCCAAAATTCAGGTCTCTGTATTAGTGTTTTTTTATTGCTACTATAACAAATTACCCCAAACTTAGTGGCTTAAGATAACATAAATGTATTGACTTGCAGTTCTGAATGTCAGACACCCAAACAGGTCTTATTGTGCTAAGATCCAGGTGTAGCCAGGGCCCTATTCCTACTGGAGGCTCTAGGAGAGAATGTATTCCCTTGCCAGCTTCTAGAAACCACTTGCGTTCCTTGGCATGTAGCCCCTCTCTCCATCTTCAAAGCTAGTAGCATGACATTTTCCAATCTCTCTTTGATTCTGACCCTCCTGCCTTTCTCTTACAAGGAAGGATTCTTATGCTTTGTGCCTACCCAGATAATCTAAAATAATCTCCTTGTCTCAAAATCCTCAATTTAATAACATCTGCAAAGTCTCTTTTACCCTGTCAAGTAACATCAACAGGTTCTGGGGATTAGGCCATGCGCACATCTTTGGAGACCACCATTTTGCCTACCAAGTGCCTCATGTAGGTGATTGGAGGACTTAATTACCCTGGAAACCTGATAGGCCCACAGAAAAGCATCTAGATAATGTCCCTGGAGGTGATTGCCCAGTAAAATGCCAGGTCTGTACTTGATTCCCCCATGAAGTGCCTTGTTAGCTGTTGAGTCTTTTGCTACCTACCAAGCACAGTTGATTTTAGGAAGCTAGAAAAGTTCTTTAGTTATAAAAGGGCATAAATCATGAACAAAGAATACAATGAAAAGACCTGGAACTTAAACAGAAGCTGTAAAACAAGAATGCAGGTAGTGTAGCTGGCAGGTGAGCAAGGCTAGATTAGAGGAAGGGGAGAGAAGAAATGAAGTCATATACCTGTAATTTTTAGACCATAAGATGCACTTAGGTTTTAGAGGAGGAAAATAGGAAAAAAATTTTTGAATAAAAAAATGTGGTAAAATATTTAATAACATAATGTTTCACCAATGTAAATATAAACAGAACTCAAAAGCAGCATTAACAACCATTATTCCTCCCAAATTTGGGGTGTGTGTGTCTTATAGTCCAAAATATATGGTATTATCTCAAATGCTTGGTTGTTTGGAAAATAATATTGACAAACACGTAACAAATCTGACAAAGCACATGAAAAAAATTAGGAAACCAAGAGAATGAAAACAAAGTACACAGATGAGAACACAGTTATATCACACTTCTTTCTCCAGTAATAGTGATACCTACATATTCGTAATAATGTAAATACTTAGTTTTAACCATGAATTGTGCTATAATTATGTTGAAGAATGAGGAGATAAGATATGGGGAAGAGGGTAGTATAAGGGGGTTACGCCAGAAAGGAATTTCAAACACTGATCAATTAAGAAATAACAGCATAAGCACATATTCAAAAATATAGAGATAAATAGCAAAAGAAATGAGAAAGGTGAAAGTGCTAGCCAATGGGGAGAGTAGCTTGGGGGTGAGGGGGCTCCTGATTTTTCTTTTTAAGTTTTTAGTGCAAGTATTATTTTAAGTTTTACTATATGCATGTATTACTTTGATTTAAAATAACTCCAAGAAGGATCTCAGAAAGAATCATTTTCCTGTATTTGAGCTATAACATCTTCTTAGATACCCCTAAAAAGAGGTCAAAAGGACTCAGTGCTAAGTTCCCTGGTGGCTCTGGGCAGTTGGACCTCCTGGACTCCACCTTACTACCACCTGAATAGTCCCAAGATCCAAAAATTCTTGTAGCACAAACTCACAATGAAAACACTTTTGGGGACAGATGTATTTTATTTATGGAATTAACATGTATATAATACTACTATGTTTTAACCTCTACCAGTGATGCAGTTAAAATATGCTTCCTATATCAAAAGCCAACTGAAACCATTCTTTTTTTTTACCTTTATGGGAGAACTTGTTTCAGTCCTTTTTATAAATTTTTAATATCTTATTAAGAACATCTCTTTAAAACTAGGCCTGGCTCAGGATAATTTGTTTCAGGTAATATAGTTGCATTTGTCCTAGAAATGTAGAGATGATGTAATCACTAATCCATTAAATTGCAGAAAATAAATAGGATTCCCATGTGGTTCCTCCTCTCTCCTTGCTCTAGGACTTGGGAAATCCTGGTCAAGTCCTAGATACTGAACATACCAATTACTGTGTCAGTGATATGAGCTCAGCATCCATCTCACTGCCTGAGGAGACCAATTACTTCCGCCCCATCTACATGGGAGCCTCTTCTGCTTTTTGTATTCAGCTGTTTTGTATTGATGAGAAACATGAAGCAAGGCAAGTATTGATCCCCAGGTTGTCTGTTATGGTAAGACACTTATGGTGTTGATGGCCCAACATTTTAATATTTCAAAGCCAGTGGTTTCCAAACCTAGCCACACATCCTAATCTCCTGGAAAGCTTTTTTAAAAGCATAGGTTCCTTGACCCCATTCCTAGAGATTCCAGTCCATAAAATTTGAGTAGGCTCATAGCAGTGGGATCTCCAGGGTCTGGATCACCTATATCACAGTTGGGGATATGGAAAATTATCACTTATGTAACCATGTGCTGCTCCCCATTCTCTAAAGTTGTCATTTTGGAGAAACTTTGGATTTAGGTACTACTTGTCTGGAGGTTTTGTTTTTGTTGTTGTTATTGCAAGTAACAGAAAATTCAACTCAATCTAGATTTGAGAAAGTGGAATAATTGCCTTACATAACAAAGGGTAAGTCCAGTGTCAGGATTGATTTTCAGTATGGCTTGATTGAGGACTTATGTAACCCAATCAAGGACCAAATTTCTCACCTCCCAGCTCTGGTCCTCTTCTGCTGGCCCTATCCTCACAGCATTGTCTCCATCTGGGGCTAAAAGTGGACTGTAGGCTCAGGCTCTGCACCAAAAACTCATGAGGAAAACACTCTGGTTTGGGCTTAGCTTTCCAGCCAAAGCCCCACTGGGTCTGATCAGGCTGTGTGCTCATCTTTGATCTGATGTCAGGGGCCACGCTAAACAGCTTAGTTCCTTACCTCATGCTCCCTGCAGGATCTGGTGCTAAAGCTTCACCCAAAAGTAATCTGAGAAAGGGTTAGTGGGACACCAAACAACAATCTAGGGCAGCTGCTGGAAGGAGTCATGGTGGCAATGCAGATGACTGAACCATCCCACTTCCTGTCCCTCTAGAATACCTATTTGTTCAGTACTTGCTGCCCCTTGTAGTTTGAACATGAATCCCTGCCCTCAGTGCCTAGATTTCACACCTTCTTCAGGGTGCCCACATACTCCACCATTTTTTCCCCAGCCAATCTTAAAGAGGAATAAACTGGCCCATTTGATATACTGAAATGCTTTGGAGCATCTTTTAGGTGACCAAGAGCACCACTGGAAATTTCATTTTAGAGGATGTATTTAAACACATTTCCAGTCTCCTAGCCTTACTTAGAACTATGTTTTACTTATACTTTTTTCCTCTTAAATTTTAAATTTCTTTGGACATCTGGAAGGTTGAAAAAGGAAATCCTTTAAATTTAATTATAGCATAGACATTTAAAAGGCCTATAAATCCTTCTAAATTTGTTGTGTATTATTGCTTTCCCCTGTGCATTCAGATATGATTGTGTTTGGAATGTGATTTTTGAATTTTCAGACAGAAATTCAGTGACCCACTATGGTTTGCCTGTGAATATACATCTGCAGCTAGTGTATATCTTTTGCATATAGAAAAGATCAGAGTAGCTTATAATATGCCCACATCTGCCCCTCCTCCTCTTCTTTTCTAAAGAGGCAGGGAGGGATCATGTTCACAGAGTGACTGTTTTGCTTTTTGAATGTGCAGAGATTTTTAATTGCAATAATAGTGCCTTCAGTTTTAGAAAAATACTTTATTACAAATGTTTGAAGCTTGTGACTTCTGCAACTAATTAAGGTTCAGCCAGACACAGATTCTGACTAGTGGTTGGCTAATCACTGCCTGAGGGGGAGAAAGTGGTAAAAAATCTTAAATATATACTGAACTGATTTGCTTGCAGGTCAGTGACAATGTCTGATGTTTTTACAGGTCATTGGACTTTATGGATTTTGTTTTCAGTCTCTTTCCTGTAAGTACTTGCTGAATTTTAAGTAACATAATTGGTTTCGTAAGCTAGAAAAGTGAAATGCCATATTCATTGTCCAGACATTTAAAATGCTATGAATGTAGGGGTTTCATCTGATTCTGTGTTCTGATAATAAGGATGACTGACATGTCATGTACTCTTAAAAATAGAAAATATTGTCATTTTTGTTAACTTTTTAAATCATGCTGTTTTAATAGCTTTCTTTCAATGCATAATTTCTTTTTGATATAGCTCCCCCCAGGCAAACATCCATGTACAAATAAGATACTCCATTTCAGGGAGTCCTGGCCTCTTTCTCCACTTTTGTTTCATTTTTGTCAAGGGATAGAGATCTAACTAACCTTTTATCAGGGTATTGGAAGGAAGAAAGTGGGGAAGAGAGGTAACTGAAGAATAGAACGAGTTTTTATAAAAGCTTTTTCCATGTTGGCCTGTCAGTTAACAACTGTACTTCTTCAGTTGGCTAAATTAATAGCACAGTATCTACTTCTTTTTTTAAAATTTTATTTTAATCATTGTCCAAGAACAGTTTTCTCCCTTTTACTCCCATTCCAGCCCACCCAACCAACCCTTCCCACTTCCCTCCCATTACCATCCTCCCCCTAGCTTTTGTCCATGTGTCCTTTAAATTTGTTCCTGTAAACCCTTCCCATTCTCCCATGAAATTTCCTCTTCTCTCCCCTCTGGTCGCTGTCAGTCTGTCTCCTATTTCAGTGTCTTTGGTTATATTTTGCTTGTTTCTTTGTTTTGTTGTTTAGGTTCCTGTTAAAGGTGAGATCATATGGTATTTGTCTTTCACTGCCTGGCTTGTTTCACTTAGCATAATGCTTTCCAGCTCCATCCATGCTGTTGCAAAGGGTAGGAGCTCCTTCTTTCTTTCTGCTGCATAGATTCCATTGTGTAAATGTACCATAGTTTTTTGATCCATTCATTTACTGATGGGCATCTAGGTTGCTTCCAGCATCTAGCTATTGTAAATTGTGCTGCTATGAACATCGGGGTGCAAAGGTTCTATTGTATTGGTGTTTTAGTGTTCTTAGGATATAGTCCCAGCAGTGGAATTGCAGGGTCAAAAGGCAGATCCATTTTTAGTTTTCTGAGGAAGTTCTATACTGCTTTCCATAGTGGTTGTACCAGTCTGCAGTCCCACCAGCAGTGCACTAGGGTCCCCTTTTCTTCACAACCTCTCCAACACTTGTTGTTTGTTGCTTTGTTTATGATGGCCATTCTGACTGGTGTGAAATGGTATCTCATTGTGGTTTTAATTTGCATCTCTCTGATAGCTAGAGATATTGAACATTGTTTCATGTGTCTTTGGATCTTCTGTATGTCCTCCTTGGAGAAGTGTCTGTTCAAGTCCTTTGCCCATGTTTTAATTGGATTGTTTGTCTTCTTAGAGTGTAGTCGTGTAAGTTCTTTATATATTTTGGAGATTAGACCCTTGTCTGAGGTATCATTGGCAAATATGTTTTCCCATACAGTTGGTTCTCTTTTTATTTTGATACTGTTTTCTTTAGCTGTGCAAAAGCTTTTTATTTTGAGGAGGTCCCATTTGTTTATTCTTTCCTTTACGTCCATTGCTCTAGGGGACATGTCAGTAAAAAAGTTTCTGCATGAAATATCTGAGATTTTCCTACCTACGTTCTCCTCTAGGACTTTAATGGTGTCATGGATTATATTTAAGTCTTTTATCTACCTTGAATTTATTTTTGTGTATGGTGTAAGTTGGTGCTCTAATTTCATTTTTTTTGCACGTGGCTGTCCAGTTCTCCCAACACCATTTGTTGAAGAAGTTATTTTTATTCCATTTTATGTTGCTGCTTCCTTTGTCAAATATTACCTGACCATAGAGACCTGGGTTTATCTCTGGGCTCTCTGTTCTGTTCCATTGGTCCATGTTCCTGTTTTTATGCCAGTACCAGGCTGTTTTGATTACAGTGGACTTGTAGTATAGTTTAGTGTCAACTATTGTGATCCCTCCTACTTTACTCTTCTTTCTCAAAATTGCAGCAGCTATTCAGGGTTGTTTATGGTTCCATTTAAATTTTTGAAGTGTTTGTTCTATGTCTGTGAAATAAGCCATTGGTACTTTAATAGGTATTGCATTGAATGTGTCAATTTTGGGGGGTAGTATGGACATGTTGATGATATTAATTCTTCCAATCCATGAACACGGTATATGTTTCCATTTGTTTGTGTCTTCCTTGATTTCTTTCCTGAGTGTTATGTAGTTTTTTGAATAAAGGTCTTTTACCTCTTTGGTTAGGTTTATTCCTAGGTATTTTATTTTTCTTTTTGCTATTTCAAATGGCATTTTTTTCTTGATTTCTGCTTCTGCTGTTTCATTGTTGGTGTACAGAAATGCCTTTGATTTCTGGATATTGACTCTGTATCCTGCTGTTTTGCCAAATTCATTTATTAGGTCAAGCAGGTTTTTGGTGGAGTCTATAGGATTTTCTATGTATACTATCATGTCATCTGCAAACACTGACAGTTTTGTTTCCTCCTTTCTGATTTGGATGCCTTTTATTTCTTTTTCTTGTCTGATCGCCGTGGCTAAAACTCCCAGTACTAAATTGAATAGAAGTGGTGAAAGTGGACATCCTTGTCTTGTTCCTGATCTTAGTGGAAAAGATTTTAATTTTTGCCCATTGAGTATGATGTTCGCTGTAGGTCTCTCATATATGGCCTTTATTATGTTGAGGAATGTTCCCTCTATTCCCACTTTGCAGAGTGTTTTTATCATAAATGGGTGCTGTACCTTATCAAATGCTTTTTCTACATCTATTGATGTGATCATGTGGTTTTTGTCTTTGCTGTTGTTTATGTGATGTATTATATTTACTGATTTGCGAATATTGTACCATCCTTGCATCCCTGGAATGAATCCCACTTGGTCATGGTGTATGATCTTTTTAATGTACTGTTGGATGCGGTTTGCCAGTATTTTGTTGAGGATTTTAGTGTCAATGTTCATCAGCGATATTGGCCTGAAGTTTTCTTTCTTTGTTGTGTCTTTATCTGGTTTTGGAATTAGAATGATGTTGGCCTCATAAAACGAGTTTGGGAGACTCCCATCTTTTTGGATATTTTGGAATAGTCTGTGAAGGATAGGGGTTAGCTCTTCCTTAAATGCTTTGTGGAATTCTCCTGTGAAACCATCTGGTTCAGGGATTTTGTGTGTTGGGAGTTTTTTGATTACTGCTTCAATTTCTTTTGCTGTTATTGGTTTGTTCTGGCTTTCTGCTTCTTTTTTATTGAGTTTTGTAAGATTACATTTTTCTAGAAACTTGTCCATTTCATCTAGGTTTTCAAATTTCTTGGCGTACCGTTCTTCCTAGTAATTTCTTATAATCCTTTGTATTTCTGAGGTATCTGTTGTAATCTCTCCTCTTTCATTTCTGATTGTGTTTATTTGGGTCTTCTCTCTTTTTTTTCTTGATGAGTCTGCTTAAAGGCTTGTCGATTTTGTTTATCTTTTCAAAGAACCAGCTCTTGGATTCATTGATCCTTAGAATTGTGCTTTTAGTCTCTATGTCATTTAATTCTGCTCTGATCTTGGATATTTCCTTCTTTCTGTTTGCTCTGGGCTGTCTTTGTTGTTGTTCCTCGAGTTCTTGTAGATGTAGGGTTAGGTTGTTTGTTTGGAATGTTTCTAACTTTTTTAGGTGGGCCTGTGTCGCTATGAACTTCCCTCTCAGGACTACCTTGGCTGTGTCCCATAAGTTTTGGGTTGTTGTGAGTTCATTTTCATTTGTTTCGAGAAACCTTTTGATTTCTCCCCTAATATCATTCTTGACCCATTCATTGTTTAATAGCATGCTATTTAATCTCCATGATTTGTAGTGTTTTGGGTTTTTTTTTCCTTCAAGTTGGTTTCTAGCTTCAGTCCCTTGTGGTCCGAGAAAATGCTTGGTATGATTTCAAATTTTTTGAAATTGTTGAGGCTTGGTTTGTGTCCTATCCTGTGGTCAATGTTTGAAAATATTCCATGTACATTTGAAAACAATGTGTATTTAGCATCTTTGGGATGGAGGGTTCTGTATTTATCAGTAAAGCCCATTTTATCTAGGGTATTGTTCAATGCCACAATATCTTTGTTGATATTTTGTTTGGAAGATTTTTCCATTTTTGATAGTGTGGTGTTAAAATCCCCCACAATATTTGTGTTGCTGTCAATATCTTTCTTGAAGTCCTCTAAGATTTTCTTTATGTATTTGGGTGCTCTTATGTTGGGTGCATATATATTTACAATATTTATGTCTTCTTGATGGATTCTTCCCTTGAGTATTATGAAATGACCTTCTGGGTCTCTCTTTATGGCCCTTTTTTGGAAGTCTATTTTGTCAGATATGAGTATTGCTACCTCGGCTTTTTTTTCCTGTCCATTTGCTTGGAAAATTTGTTTCCAGCCCTTCACTTTCAGCCTGTGTAGGTCTTTTATCCTGAGGTGGGTCTCTTGTAGGCAGCATATGTGTGGGTCATGTTTTCTTATCCAATCAGCTATTCTATGTCTTTTGATTGGAGCATTTAATCCATTTACATTTAAGGTTATTATTGATAGGTACTTATTCATTGCCTTTTATGTACATGTGTTCCTCTCTCACTCTCTCTTTTCCTTTCTTTCCTTAAAGCACTCCCTTTAGCATCTCTTGAAGAGCTGGTTTAGTGGAGGTGTATTCTTTAGACCCCTTTTTTCTGAGCAGCTCCTTATTTGGCCTTCTATCTTGATTGAGAACCTTACTGGGTAAAGTAGCCTGGGTTGCAGACCTCTGGTTCTCATTACTTGGAATATTTCTTGCCATTCTCCTCTGGCTTGGAGCGTTTCCATTGAGAAGTCAGCAGCTAACCTTATTGGGGCTCCCTTGTATGTTACTTCCTGTTTCTCCCCTGTTTGTCGCCTTTAAGGTTCTCCCTTTGTCTTGAAATTTTGCCATTTTAATTATGATGTGTCTTGAGGTGGGTCTCTTTGGGTTCCTCTT